CCCGCGAATTTTGCAACAGGAACAAAACTTCAATGTACTTTTTGAAAAATCTTGTTCAAAACGCTGGACGTTTTGCAAGGATGGGGGGCTTTATCCGCCTACTCGTCATCGAAACCCCGACAATCTTCCACCAAAACTTCTAATTTGCACGTACAAAGTGATCTGGCAGGCGGCTATGTATCATAAGAACTGTTAAGAGTGGACAATGCTAACAACTGCCTGCCTAAAAACTGCCTGCTTTAGAACCAAATCAGTCGAAAGGAGGTAGACCCAACGATTCTGGATGAAAGTCTTCCAAACTTTTTAAAACTTGTGTAATACGATCAGCCACTTGTTCCGGTGGAGAAGAGTAAGTTGTATCAGGCACCATGATGACCTTCATACCAGCTTCAACAGCAGCTATTACCCCATTTGGAGCGTCCTCAAAAACCACAACTTTTGACGCGTCACTTGGTGGATTTTCAAAACGTTTCATGGTCACAAGAAATGGATCAGGATGAGGTTTGCACCTCTTGATTTCTGGATCATCGCTACTTGCAACCTGAAAAAAAGAAAAGAAGAACCTCCTTTAATGATTCCTTAATGAACGCGAGAGTTAACAGCGAAACTTTAAAGCAGTATGCTTGAATACAACAGAATTAAGATAGTGTTTAGTACATCAGCCACAGCGGTTTTTTGCCGTTAGCAAGATGTCGATCCGAATGAACAATTAGTTAATAGCAAAATTATCTCTAATGCTTTACATGAAGAGGAATCAGTTCCGTTAATTCCTTGTGGTTCTTCACTTTCATCCTGAACTCTTCAAACCTCGAACCAGTACAAATCGCCATTGGTACATGATGTTTTGCAAGATGACGCACAAGCCGCAGAGCCCCAGGCATTAAAGGAGCTCCTGGAAGTGCTTCGAGCAAGAGTTTATTGTAAACCTCCTCATATTCACCAAAGGTAACAATTCCTTTCAACCCCACCTGTACAACTTGAACTTTTGAAATAAATTCAATTAGCGGCTAATATTTTTTACACAAATAAAAGTTTCTGACTCCTTGGAAATTGTAGGCTTAAATAGTGAAATGACTCAAATAATAAAACGTATATTAATACTTCCGTAAGTACAGAGTCACTAGCCTTATACCTAAAAATATTTAAAAAATTAACAGCTCTGATTCAACAAGTAGGCTAAGGCTAGTTTACAAGCAAGCAATAAAGACAAAATTTACTGTTCTGTAAAACTTTCTTTTTTTTATGCATTAAGGCCCAAAACAGCAAGAGAAAACGTACTAGTAACTATCTGAAAGAGGATAACGGAAGAAATAAGGAGACTTGCTTTTTCAATCATGAGTTCTATGGCTTCTTTATGAGAGCGTCCCATGGTTAATGGCTTCAAGTCAAGAGTGAATTTCTTACCCCATTTTTCCATCACTTTATTGTTAACATCAGTATAAATCCCCTCACTATCAAGGAGAAGGCCATCTAAGTCGAAAATAACGTGCGTAACGTTCAGTTTAGCCTTTTCCATCCTGAAACCAAATGTTATTTTCTCAAATCTTTCGAGAATATCTTCTTCCGCTATATACTTCATTTTGTAGCACATTATAAAAAAGTCGCTGCTTACATGAACAGTAATCTAGTTTGTGTAAAGAAAATTTTGTAAAAACAACGCCTCGTCGCCTTCTCTTCAATACCCTTGACTGAATTTGGTTCCAATTGGAAATGACCGTAGTACAATCCAAACTTGCTCCTCTCCGGTGCTACAATTTAAGATTCGTTAAGGCTTTCAAAAGATGCAATAACTGCTAAAATTCGTACCTGAAAGAGTTAACAAAATCAGGCATTACTACTTTACGCCGACCATAAGTTTTACTTAACTCCTATCACTAAAAAGGATGAAATTCTTCATAGTTAAGATAAGAACAAAAAAATCTACAAAATGAGCAACGCTAGTGTGCACTGAATGTTCAAGAAGAGCAATGTAGAAAAAAAAAATTTTTCCTTAAATTTTCTTACGCTTCACTGAAATGGCTTTATAACCATTAAAATTTGTTCGTTATAAATATTACACAGTTGACAGCATGCAAAAAATGAATTTTTTTAAATGCGGATCCCGGAAAACAAGCTTTCAGGAGGACCGTACTGAAGGTAAAACAAAATAAACTTTTTCATATAACACTAAGAAGTACAACACAGTTAGTGATAAGTCATCAAACACAAACAAAAAATGAATGCTTAATCAGAAAATTCCAAAGTGATTCAAATAGCATCGGTAAAATAAAAAAGCCATAAAAATACAACGGCAAGCCTTATACTACTTGTCTTTTCATTTCCAGCTTGCGGTTGAAGACCCTGCGAACGAGAAGCGCGTGTTCACTAGAACATTCAAAAAAAATTAGGTGCGGATATAATTGCAGGGTTGTTTTCACTTATTCATGGCGTCTACATCGGAAAGACTGTATATTATAAGATAGACCACATGCGCAATGTAACTAAACCAGTCTCACTAAAGGTCACCGTCGGCTTCCTAAGTTGCGTTGTATTTCAGCTAGTAAATGTTTTTTAAATACAAAACTGATGCAAATCCTGAAAATTGTTTTGCTCATCCAGGATCTTCATTCCGGAACCAATTTATGCTTACTAGCAAACTTTAAGTACAAGCCACTGCAACACTAATTTTTTTTTCTTAATTAGGAAGATTTAAGGATGGATTAATCAACTGCTTCAGTTTGATTGAAAGTCACACTTCGGTCTTTTAAATTACGTGTTACTTTTCGCTCTGCTCTGTGTTTTTGTTAGTTTGTAGGAACTTCTGGTATAACTTGCATTGCGCTGCGCAAAACCACAAAGCTTCTCCCACACGCTCCTGCGAAGACAGGAATCAACGCAAGAGAGCGACACGAACAGAAAAAATTGTCGCTGACCTTTACTGGATTAGAAATTTGAGTATTCCATTCCAAAAGCCCTCTAATGAGCATAGGTTAGATTCAGGATAAGCATCATAGA